CACAAAGTGAGAAATTTATATAGTGCAAGATGAATTAATTGCAATATTATAGTATTAAAGTCACGCACTTCTCTTAATTGCCGTCATCCCCATACAACAAACTATCAAACATACGAAACTTTTCCCCATTTGTTCTAAGGTTGTAAAAATATTAATAAATTATTTATAATAATCGACATACCTAATTCTCAAGATATTTAATAAAAGAAATAATTAATATCTTCAAATTCTAATTTTAACATGAATGTTAAAGTTAACATAAGAACACTGGTCCTTCTATGCAGTTGTGTGATAGTAGAGCTATTAAATTAGACGAGTCGTCGTTCGTGAGCAGAGCTCGGCTCGTTTTATAAATGAGTCTAACTCAAGCTCATTTAAAACTCGTTCAGTTAACAAGCTGAGCTCGATTCCACTCGAAAATATGATATTTGTGTATGCTCATATAATTCGGCTCGTTAAAACTCAAACTCGACTACTTAATATTGATAAACGGGTCGAGCTCGAGCTCAATTATAAGCTCGTTATGAACCCGAGCTCAAGCTAGTTTACACCCTATATAATAGAGATAAATTTGTTACCTAACCCTATTGCTAAATTTGACTCATGCAAGATTCACAATTAATTTGTAAAGATTCTGCAAACTTTATAACATTGAAAATGTAACTTTTATTTATTATTAAAAAATAAAAAAAGCTTTCTAACTATTTACTTTCATGCGGAAGGGAATATAATAGAACAAAATGAGAAAAAAGAAAGCACTTTTAAAATCATGCTCCTGGGTTTTGTGCTTAAAGTCCACGAATAGCTGCTCGAGTTATCATNTGGATTTATAAATAAAACACATAATTACAATTAAAAACAGCCAAAAATTGATTTTAGAGAGAGAACATTCTCAAAGAAATATAGACTTTTAATATATCATATATAGATTTTTTTTTTAATTGTTGTTCACATGATACTTCGACCCAACTAATTGTTCAATTGTCTTAAAGAAATTATTTTGTTTATGTATATGTTGATTTATGGGCACCATTGTGTATCCATTTTGTCAATGGATATTGAGATTGACAGAAGGGCCAATTGTTGAGACATTAGCAAGTCCAATATTCTATGTTATACAGCATACAGGTGTTTTAATAATACCTTTATAAAAATATTATATATACTTTAAAAAATTATAAATAAAACTATAATGTATTATATTACAAATATATAATTTTTCTTTTTCTAAAAAAAAGTACAATGTTATAATGTATGATAAATTTTGATTCAGTATAAACAAAAGAAACTTATATATATCTCATAGTACCTAGCTTTCGTGTAATAAAATATGTGGTTAAATATTATTTGATCAATAAGGAATTGAGGATTTTTAATTTTTCATCAGACTTAAAATTGTCTTTTATTATTTTTGCTTAGACAAACATTTTTATTTTGATTACCCTCATAAATAAGTCAAATGATACATGTCTGTATAATCTATCTATATAGAAAGGCATGACACAATACAAAAATTAAATTGAAAATTGAATATGCACACATACGTCGATATTCTTCAAAAAAAATTAACAAATTTATATATTAAGACACGTATTTTAGCAGATTCTTTTATATATTAAAATTAGAAATTTTATTTTTATTTTTAATTACATCGGCACGAAATCTTAAATTATAAATATATTTCATTATTATTAATACAAGATGTATATTTCATTTCTACGTTTTTATTTGTTCTTCATCGTTTTCTTATTTTAATTAAATTTAATATTAAATACTCACCACTGTCCAGTGTGAATAGAGAGAATCGTCAGTCGGACGCACAAAAATGGCAGCAGCAATTTTCTCTCTCTTACTCGTCTCCATCTCTCTGTTCATTACAGCGTCCTCTTCATCGCTGCATTCCGGCCTCCAAATCCTCCAAGCTGAGCGCCAGGTAAATTCTTTTCCCTATCCTTATTCCCTTTGTTACCTAAATTTATGATCAATTCAAGTTCATGTCTTGATATGATTCTGTCAATGTTCGTTGTTATTTTT